AATAATTATTATTATTATTATTATTATTATTATAAAGCACCAATTTCCATAAGATTCCAAACAATAATTAAATTCCCTTCAGGACTCAAAGAGATTTTTAAAAAATACTGTAAAAAATACATTTATAATTTATACTAAGGTTTAACAAAATCCAATCAGTGATATTTTAGTATCATTAAGGCACTAGTTTTTTTTATAGTATTTATTAATATTTCGAATTTCGAGTTTTTGGTTTTATATTTTCGGCTTTCATGTTAATTTTAGTTAAAGTTGTAGCATTTTTTGTGTTTTTGTCATTTTTATTATTACATTTTGTTTTTAAGTATGTCTATATAGTTGTTATTAATTTTTATTTCATTTTTAGCTATTTTAGTACAAGTTAAACTAAACGAAAATGAGAAATGTTGCCCTGAAAAGTTTTTATATATTCTATTTTTATAATTATTTCAAGTAATGAAATATTTTTTAATGGTTTTTTAGATTTAGTTAACTATAATAACCCTAAATCAAAGCAAAAAAAAATAAAAAATTAAAGGAATCCAGTTTAGAAATTGGAATTAAATCAAACAATATATTTAAATATAAAATCCCCAAAGGTTAAAGGTTAGAATTAATATTGAATTTATATTGAAATCAAACTTCAATAAATAATAAAGTCCACACTGACTCTATCTAGGTTAGTGGTGGGATGAGGCTTCGGTTAATAAAAATGTGCATCAGTATGATTAGGTAGAGTTAGTTTTAGTCAGTGATAGTTAGTGATTAGGTTTAGTCAGTGTTAGTCAGTAATAATCAGAGATAGTGAATGATTAGGTTTAGTCAGTGTTAGTCAGAGATAGTTAATGATTAGGTTTAGTCAGTTTTAGTCAGTGATAGTTAATGATTAGGGTTAGTCAGTTTTAGTCAGAGATAGTGAATGATTAGGTTTAGTCAGTGTTAGTCAGTGATAGTCAGAGATAGTTAATGATTAGGTTTAGTCAGTGAAAGTTAGTGATTAGGGTTAGTCAGTGATAGTGATAGTTAGTGATTAGGGGTAGTCAGTGTTAGTCAGTGATAGTGATTAGGTTTAGTCAGTGATAGTCAGTGTTAGCCAGTGATAGTTAATGATTAGGGTTAGTCAGTGTTAGTCAGTGATAGTTAGTGATTAGGGTTAGTCAGTTTTAGCCAGTGATAGTTAGTGATTAGGGTTAGTCAGTTTTAGCCAGTGATAGTTAGTGATTAGGGTTAGTCAGTGTTAGTGATTAGGTTTAGTCAGTGATAGTCAGTGTTAGCCAGTGATAGTTAATGATTAGGGTTAGTCAGTGTTAGTCAGTGATAGTTAGTGATTAGGGTTAGTCAGTTTTAGCCAGTGATTAAGGTTAGTCAGTGATAGTGATTACGCTTAGTCAGTGTTAGTTAGTGATTAGGTTTTGTCAGTGTTTGTCAGTGATAGTTAGTGATTAGGGCTAGTCAGTGATAGTAATTAGGGTTAGTCAGTGTTAGTGATTAGGGTTAGTCAGTGTTAGTCTGTGATAGTTAGTGATTAGGGTTAGTCAGCAGTGATTTTCTCTCAGTCTGTGGCCTTTCATTCTCATGTGTGTCTGTAGATTATGAACTCTAAGCTTCCAGTATTTCATCTACGGTTCAGATGCTTTAAAGGAACACAGTGTTTATGTGGGACGGATCTCCCCTTTGGTTTCTCCCAAGGAATCTTCCATACTGTCAAGGAGATTTTCCTGCCACTGTCTCATCGCATGGGATTCACACTAATTTCTAACAGAGCTGTTCAAATACAGCAGCAATGAAGCACAAAGAGCCTCATGTTGAGTGTTGTGATTGATCACAGCATCATCAATCTCCTTCAGTCTGATTCCTCTGAAACAACAGTTAGACGGAGAACTAAATAAACTAAATAAGCAAGCGTGTGTGTGTTTTGTGAATGAGCACGTTATGTTTATCTCTCCTGTGCTCAAGACTGACATGATGGAGACAAATATAGCTCAGCTCTCTCTGGGGAACTCTGGGCATCAGCTGCCTAGCAACCGTCACCACGACAACAGGAGGAAACCCTGCTGCGGTGAGTCAGCGATTCAACCTGTGTGTGTGTATTTGTGTGTGTGTGTGTGTGTGTGTGTGTGTGAGTGAGAGTGTGTGTGTCCGCGAATGTGTGTGTGTCCTGTTTTTAATTAAAGCTATTTCTTAATGTGGCCTCAATTTTCCGACAGGACAAGCAGGTGCATGTCGAAGTGATCAGTCAGTAAAAAAACACTGTGTTTACACACAAACACACAGTTTAATCAGCCTCATTCACGTCATGCTGGAATTAAAGTCCATCAAAGTGTCACAAAATATGTCTGTATTCAGATGCATGAGAAGGGATGTGGAACAACTTTACCACTTCACAAGGTGCATGGAAACAAACTGTCTACAAGAATGTGAAAAAAGAATCCAGCACTACTTGTGATAAAGGGGACTTTAATACTTTAAAAGCACCAAAGCATTTCGGCCTAAGAGCTTTCTTCAACACACATCATACACAGACATTCAAAAACACATCTCCATATTGCATTACTCGTTCATAAATTAGCAACAGCTGACAAGCTTAACTCAAGTCATTACACTACTTAATTAGAGTTAACTATTCAAAAGAAACCACCATCACAGAAACTCTTGAAGAGAAAAATCCTCATTCATACCTTTTGGAAACAGACTTTTCTATACCTTCTGGTATTGAAAAGGTTAAACGGAATACAAGAGGTGGTAATATTGATTGTATAAAGAAGAAGCGAGAAGCCTTTCGGATCATTTATTTGAAAAGTCTCTAAAAAGTATGAATGAGGATTTTGTACATTAGATCAATTCATGCATTCCTGGGAATCGAACCCGTGACCGTGGTGTTGCGAGTGTCGTGACCTACTGCTTGAGCTGATGGAATATGTCACACTTCACGATATTCACAGCACAGCACACAATGCAGGTCAAAAGCATGAAGTAGTTTAACACTCGAGCCTGTAGTGATGAGGAAGAGCATCAAAACAGAGTCATGCTGCTCCACATGTCTCACACACACACACACACACACACACACAAATCCACTGTTCTTGCTGTGATGACAGTGTTTGAGCAGCTCACCTGAGCTTCAAACAAACCCGTGACTCTTTCACACTGATCTGTCTGACGTTAATGTTTGGGGGCGGGGCCATCTGGCTGACTGGCCAATGGCAGAGCGTTTGTGAAACCCGTTTGAAAACAATCATTATATATCAGTAAGGTTCCTCACCACCATGTTGTTTTTGGAGACCCAGCAGTCGGGTGGGAAGTCCTGCAGCATCGGCACCAGGAACTGCAGACATCCATCCCAGTGACACAGCAGCAGCATCATGCCGATCAGATTGACGATCCGCACCATCGCGCTGGCCAGGTCATAGGTCATGTGGAAGATCTGCGCAAAACACACTCATAAAATCACTCATTCATTAGCATTTGATCTGCTTGATTACAGCAAAAACCACAGTCTCAATTATTCTGGTCAATATTAAGAACACGAATATTTAACACAATTACTCACTGATTTTGGAAACATCATGCTAGGGGTTTGAATTCTGTACACAATGCTATAATTTATAGCGATATGGATGAGATTGTGGCTGTCATACGCTGTCAAATGCGGCTTTACCAAGCTCAACTGCTCTGGTCCAAGCTGTGATATAAACAAAATGCTATTGGGTGTTTAAAAAAGGGGGCGGGACTGCTTGATATGCCCCGCCCTGTCTTCCTGTTTCAGTTGAAATGACATCAGCACATGAAATAACACTGCGTGTTTCAAAGGTCACAGTGGACCTTTAAATCTCAACATTTTGAGTTTGTATCTCATTATTCTGACTTCCAGTTGTGAGAAAAAAGTTGCAAATTACCTCTTTTTTTTTCTTGGAAGAAACTTGCTTTCATTGAAATATGACCAAAATCATGGACAAATTTTTATTTCACAATATCAATATATAACGATAAAATTATTTTTTGCTGGAAGTAAGGTTTTTTTAAAAATACCAAAGCTATAGATACCAGCAAAATTTTGCAAACTCAACACCAATTTTGACAGCAAAATCTAACAGTAGCCTAAATAATGCAAGTAGGAAGTGTAATAAAGCCAGTCATACAATAAGAACTAATTATGTGTGTGTGTGTGTGTGTGATAGTGTGTGTGTGTGAGAGTGTGAGTGTGTGTGTGAGTGTGTGTGTGTGTGAGAGTGTGAGTGTGTGTGTATGTGTCTGTGTGTGTGTGTGTGTGTGTGTGTGTGTGAGTGAGTGCGTGAGTGAGTGAGTGAGTGAGTGTGTGTGTGTGTGTGTGTGT